ATGCCTTAAAAATCTATCTATCTACCTTGCAATGCAGCAAATGTGGAAACCAGTTACACAGGCAAGTGCAATTCTATGCACAAGTACTTAAAAGTGACACTTAGCTGTTGCCTAAAGATGCCCTAGAGACGCAGAATCCATGAATTAGTGAGCTGACCACACTCTAAAATCTGTTCTTCAAAAGAAGCAAAGGTGTATTCATTATTATTATTGCTGCTGTATCTTGCTGATCGAGTCCAGCTAAATTTCAACTGACAGCTTCCTTGCGAGGTACTAAGAAAAACTAAGGTGCATTATGTACAACCAGTTGGAACAATATCGATCACAAAAACTATTTTAGAAAGTTGTCTTCTCGGAAAAACAAATGGTAGCCAAAAATTCACACTACTATAACACATACTTAGGAAAGCATAGAGAAACAATGTATTAAAGGATGCAGATGCATCATAAATTGAGTAAGCCAATGCGGAGAGATTTAACTGCAAGACTAAGTCATGTTAGCATTAACAGCTGGATATGTGCAAGCTGATAAAAACATTCAAAAGCTTTATATGGAAAACTTTCAGAAAACCCCTTGACCAGACAGTGTTGAAAGGCTGTGTGACCACACAAGGGCTGAGTATTTCTTCTCAGAATGTAGAGGATGCTGACAGCGTTACATTTATTGCCTATTCCCAGTCACGAGGCTGCGTGACATAAAAGGGATTTTGGAGGGGATGGGTGTTCACACAACTCCTGTTTCTGAAGAAGGGTCCCGACCGGAAACATCAGCTTTCCTGCTCCTCTGATGCTGCCTGGCCTGCTGTGTTCCTCCAGCTCCACACTGTGTTATCCTATTTCTTATCCTTCTTTAGTGGTAGAGATCGCAGGGAAGAAAATGCTGGTGACGTTACATTGTTGAGTGCAATGCATCTTGCAGATCAACACCCCTAACATGCCAGTGTGAAGGGGATGAATATAGAGTAATCAAACAAACTGCTCTGTCCTGGATGAGTGTATCAAGTGCTACTGCAATGGCCCCAACCATACAAACGGTAAGTATTCCAGTGTACTCCTGACTTGATTCCTTTAGCTCATGTGGAGGCTTTGAGGGGTCAGTAGGTGAATTAACATTGACTCACCTTTATACAAGATTTTCATGGACACTGCCAGCAAGACCAGCATTTATTGCACTCCTTAGATTCCCTACAGAAGGTGATGGTGAGATGCCATCTTAAATAGTTCCAGCTTGTGTGATTAGGTTCATCACAGTTGTTAGCAAGGTGCCCCTGGAATTTAACCCAAATATAGTGAAGTGAAGATATCATTCAGAATAGGAGAGGCAATGGCCGAGTGGTATTATCGCTATACTATTAATCCAGAAACTCAATTAATGTTCTAAGGACACAGGTTCAAATGCCAACATCTGCCGTACTGGGATTTGAATACAATACACCTGGCATTGACCTAGGCACCAGAAAAGACGACGGCAGAAACAGCCCTGTCGATACTGCAAAATTTTCCTTACTAACATCTGGGGGCTGGTGCCAAAATTGGGGGAGCTGTCTGATAGTCTAGTCAAGCAACAGCCTGGCAGTCATACTCTCAGAATCATGCGATTACAGACATTTTTCCAGACACCACCATCATGATCCCAGGGTATCTTTTGTCCCACCTAAAAATGAGGTGTCAACCTGGTGAAGCTACCAAACAGGACTATTTGCATGCCCAATAGCTAAGCAGCAAATAACAGAGCTAAGCAACCTCACACTAACAGATCAGATCTAAGCTGGGCAATCCTGCCACATCCAGTCATAAATGATGGTGGGCAATTCAACAATCAATCATTGATCGCCACAGGTGAGGTGCCAGAGGTTGGCTAACACGGTGCCACTATTTAAGAAAGGTGGTAAGGAAAAGCCAGGAACTATAGACCAATGGGTCTGATATCAGCTGTGGGCAAGTTGTTGGTGCGGATCCTAAGGGACAGGATTTATATGTATTTGGAAAGGCACGGACTGATTAGGGATATCAGCATAGCTCTGAGCATGAGAAATTGTCTCACTAACTTAACGGAGTTCTTTGAAAAAGTAACGAAGAGGATTGATGAATACTGCATTCAAATCTGGTGGAGGGTTATTTTTCAGACTGGAGGCCTGTAACCAGCTATGTAGCACAAGGATTGGTCTTGGGTCCACTACTTTTTGTTATTTATATACGTGATTTGGATGTGAAAATAAGAGGTATGGTTAGTAAGTTTGCAGATGACACCAAAATTGGTGGTGTAGTGGACAGCAAAGAAGGTTACCTCCGAGTACAACGGGATCTTGATCAGATGGGCCAATGGACCCAGGAATGGCAGAATGGAGTTTAATTTAAAGACGAGGTGCTGCATTTTGGAAAGGCAAATCAGGGCAGGACTTATACGCTTAATGGAAGGGTCCTGGGGAGTGTTGCTGAACAAAGACCCTAGACTGCAGGCTCATTGCTCCTTGAAAGTGGAGTCACAGGTAGGTAGCATAGTGAAAGTGGTGTTTAGTATGCTTGCCTTTATTGGTCAGTGCACTGAGTATAAGAGTTGGAAGGTCATGTTGCGGCTGTACAAGACATTAGTTAGATCACTTTTGGAACACTGTGCGCAATTCTGATTTCCCTGCTATAGGAAGGATGTGGTGAAACTTGAAAGGGTTCAGGAAAGATTTACAAGGATATTGCCAGGGTTGGAGCTATAGGGAAAGGCTCATTAGGTTGAGTCTATTTTCCCTACAGCGTCGAAGGCTAAGTTGTAAAATCATGAAGAGCATAGATAGGATGAATAGCCAAGGTCTTTTCCCCAGGGTAGGGGAGTCCAAAATTATAGGGCATAGGTTTAAGGTAAGAGGGGAAAGATTTAAAAAGGACCTAAGGGGCAAATTTTTCATGCAGAGGGTGGTGTATGTATGGAATCAGCTGTCAGTGGAAGTGGAGGAGGCTGGTACAATTACAACATTTGAAAGGCATCTGGATGGATATATGAATAGGAAGGGTTTGACAGGGATATGGGCCAAATGCTGGCAAATGGGACTAGATCAATTTAGGATATCTGGTCTGCATGGACAAGTTGGACCGAAGGGTTTGTTTCCATGCTGTACAGCTCCATGACTAATTCACAAGAGTAGGTGGCTCCATATTTATCCCAGGCTCAAATGACAGAAGAGCTCAATACATAAGTGCAAAATATAAGGCTGTATCGTTCACATGAATATTCACAAGTGCCAAGTGAATTATCCATCTCTGCATCCTTCAGCAGTCCCCGAGTATCAGACAATTCGATTCATTCCACAGTGATATTAAGGAACATTTGATGACACTGGAAGCTGCAAAGACTATGGGCCCTGACAACATACCAGCAACAGTACTGAAGACTTGTGCTCCAGAACTTGTCACTCCCTTAGCCAAGCTCTTCCCGTACAGTTACAACACTGGCATCTACCTAACAAATGTGAAAAATTGCCCAAGTATGTCCTATAGACAACAAAAAAAGACAAATTCAACATGGATGATTACTACCTCATTAATCTGTAAAATGACAAAGTGTCATTAACACATATCAAGCAGGGCCCGCTCAGCAATAATCTGCTCCCTGGTGCCCAATTTGGCTTCTGTCACTGTCATTCAGCTCCTGACCTCATTACAGCCTTGAATCAAACACGGGCAAAAGTACTGAATACTAGATGCAAGGCAAAAGTTGACATCAAGGCTGCATTCCACCAAGTATGACATCAAGGAACCCTAGCAAGATTGAATTTAACGGGAGTCACATCTGGTACATAGGAAGATGGTTGTGGTTGCTGCACGTCAGTCATCTCAGCTTCAAGATATCTCTGCAGGAGCTCCTCAGGGTAGTGTCCTAGGTCCAACCATCTTCAGCTGCTTCAATGACATTCTCTCCACCATAAAGGTCAGAAGTGGGAACGCTTGCCAATGATTACACATGTTCAGCACCATTCACGACTCCTCAGATACTGAAATAGCACGTGTGCAAATGCAACATGATCTGGACAATATCCCGGCTTGGGCTGACAAGTGGCAAGCAACATTCGTGCCATACAAATGCCAGGCATTAACCATCACCAATAAGAAACAATCACAGCCCTATCAACATCCTTCGGTTATCACTGACCAGAAACTCAACTGGATTTGCCATAAAATAGTGCAGTAAGGAACTCACCTTCTAACTCCCCAAAGCCTATCCACCATTGACAATGGCACAAGTCAAAATTGTAATGTGATACTCCCCAAATTGCCTGAATATGTGCAACTTCATCAATACTCATGAAGCTTGACACTATCTAGGACAAAGCAGCTCACTTGATAGGCACCACATTCACATCTTCATCAATGTTCAGTCACAAAGGTGTGTACCATCTACAAGACGCACTGCAGAAATTCAAAGACCCTTAGGTGGCACCTTCCAAACCCACAAGCACTTGCATCTAGAGGGACAAGGGCAGCACGTACATGGGAACACCATCACAACCTGCAAGTTTCTCTCCAAGCCACTCACCACCCTGACTTGGAAATATATCTCCATTCCATCATTGTCAGTGGGTCAAGAATTCTGGAATTTCTTCCCCAAGGGAATTGCGGGTCTACCTACAGCACATGCATCAGCGCAGGCTTAGAGGGTGTAAAGGCCTGTTTGTGCTGTATTCCTCTTTGTTCTGTGGTCTACAGTGGTTCCAAAAGGCAGTTCATCACCAACTTCTCAATGGCAATTAGGGACAGGCAATAAATGTTGGCCAGTGACATCACGTCCCACAAATCAATAAAGAAGTCAGATGGTGTGAGGCTTAGGGGAAACTTGCAGGTGGTGATGCCCCTATGCATCTGCTGGCCATGTCCTTCCAAGGATAGAGGTCGTGGGCTCAGAAGACGCTATCAAAGAAGGTATGATGTAGTTCACAAATTGTTAAAGCTGAGTAATATCAACAACTTACTAGAACTGCTTATCAAAAGCAATTTCTTCAGAATGAACTTACTGGTTATTACGTTGGTCTGGGTTGGAATACAAGATGTTTGGTTACAACCAGTCTTCAACACCATACGGTCACCACTTCTGCCAATGTGACACATCACAATGGAGTCAGCAATTTTCAAAGCCAGACATCAGACATAAATATAACCAATGGCAGCAGAAACTGCAGGGATCCTTCCTAATAGTATAGAGATCAGCATACTAATAGAGAGAAACAGGAGGATGGTGCATAGCTGTGAAGATTGTTCCCCTTAAAGTTATTCTCCAAGTGACCTAGCCCCAAGCTAAATGCAATTAGAGTGACGAAAACATGGAGGAGGTGACAGCAGTGAAGAAAAAGTATTTTACACAAAACAGATGTCTGGGAATTCTGTTACAGATCAACAATCTTGGGCTGTTTATAATACAAATTACTTGAACACTGCTATAACCAAACTCTTGACACAAGTTTTACTGTAGTTGGAACCAACATTCCAACAAATTTTAACTCAGGATAAGAATTGGGAATCAAGAAGTGCTCGTAACTGCTTTGATAAGCATAGCATCAAGTAATTGTGTCATCTTTTCTGGGAGTTGCAGTACTTAGATCCAAAAGAATAAAAATACTGAAGCAATACACTAAAAAATACTGCATGCTTTGTCAAATATTGTTGAACAGCAACATAATATTAAGCTTCACACAAGCCTGTCCCCACCCCAAGCCACTCAAGATTGTGCTACCTCAGACATTTCATGGATTGCTCAGAGCCCACGGGTCAGTGGTTCAATCCCAGGCTTGTCCATCATTGCTTTCATTGTTTCAGTGGCAGTTTGCAGGAGCCCACTAGTACCACCACTTCTGGTCGACATCCTTTGAAGGGTCTTTTCCTATGCCCTCAGTACAAAAATAATAAATGGTACCTGACTACTCCGCCAATCTCTGTTAATTTATTTCCCTGCATCAATGTTGACAGCCTCTGCATGCACATTAATATCTGACTTCAAGTACTCCTACATAAATTTCCAAATTGAGTCTGTAGACTGCAAAAAGGACTGCCTGTTCTAACTATCATCAGTGGAATTAAATGAAACAAACAGATGTACTCCAGTACAAGACTGTTGGTTAGCTTTAGTTCGATGTCAGCGGATTTGCAAGGTGTAAGATTACACAGCAGCCAAAATAATACACACCATCAGCCCCCAATTTTTTTTGTTTTAAATTCATGGGATGTGGGTGTCACTGGCCAGGACAATATTAATTGCCCATTCCTAATTTCCAAGAGGCAGTTAAGACTCAAACATATTGCTATGGGTATGAAGTCGTGCATAGGCCAGAGAAGCTAAGGATGGCCGATTTCCTTCCAAAAATGAAATTAACAAACCTAATGGGTTTTTTGTGTCAATCGATAGTGGTCACCATTAATCTGGTTTCTAACTCTAGTTTTTTTTATACACTGGATACAAATTTCACCGCTGACCTTTGAGAGACTCAAACTCATCCCCCTAATTTTGGATTACTAGTGAAATGACATTGCCACTGCACCACTGCCTCCGAAGAGAAATTAATTCCCACGACACAAACCTGTTTGTGACCTCTGTAGCCATGTGAAAATGTAGTCCTGAATTTGGAACTGTTTTGTGCTTTGGCAATTTGATGATTTGGTTTCGCGCGGGACCTGCAAATCCAAGAGATGAGAATTTCATGCCAGTGTCTAATCAACAGTGGCAGCCATTGACTCAATTGGTAAAGAAACAAAAAGAACTGTATTAATGCAGTAATTCTTACACACCCAAAGCAGCTCACAGCAAACAGTTTTGATACTACCATCACTGCTACTTTGTCAGTAAACAAGGCAAACAATATGTTATCATTGTTATTTTTTGATTCAATGACCAGTTAATCGTATTAGTTAAGGGATGAATGTTGGCCAGCAGATTATGCTCAAGTCTGTCCCAAGTTTTTTAAACTAATATGAGAATCTAATACTAATAATGTTAAAGTTTTATATGAATGTCCTTTAAAATGTTTGCTATGTTTGAGAAAAACTATGGAAGGACACATGAAAGTACTAGGATCGAGCTGATAAACTGCACACTCACCAATTTGACAGACCATGCTTGTACCTGTACGATTTCCTGATGTAAAATTCTGATCAACAATAGGACAATGCAGATAAATGTTCTCCCAAGTACTTCCACCATCTTCGCTCCCAGCCCCACCTCCACCCCACCTAAATTCATTCACAGGATGTGGCTGTCACTGGCTGGGCTATGATCCATCTCAAAGAGCCTAACACCTATGAGGTGCCATCTTAAAACTTAAACGTTCTTAAATGGTAGGGAAGAAGATCCCCATTTCCAAGGCAGGATGGTAAATGGCTTGGAGTGGGACATGCTGGTGATAGTATTCTCATGTAACTGGTGCACTTGTCCTAGTTGATGGTGGTTGTGGGTTTTGAAGTTCTGTTAAAGTGGCTTTGAATTTCTGCAGTATATCACTACAATGGTTGTGTTACCACTGTCTGTTGATGGTTGAGGACGTAAATATTTGTGGGTTACACTCCACCGAGCTGCTTTGTCCTGGATGATAAAGTTTCTGGAGTTCTAATCATCAAGGCTAGCTGGGAGTACTCTGTTACACCCCTCACTTTTGTCCTGTGGATTGTGGGCAGTCTGAGAGTCAGGAGGTGATTTACATGCGACAGGATTCCTAACATCTGACCTGCTCCATAGCGACAGCACCGATGTGGACAATCTGGTCCAGTTTCTGGTTCATCACAACCCCAGGATGTTCACAATGGGGGACTCACTAATGGTAATGCCATTGAATATCAAGAGGCAATGATTAGATTCTCTCTTGCTGGACATAGTCATTGTCTGATATTTATGAAGTGCAAATGTTACTAACCATTTGTCAGCCCAAGCTAGATATGGTAAAGGTTTTGCTGCATTTGGACATTTACTGCTTTATTAAAAAAAGAGGCGAAAATGGTGCTGAACATTGCACAGCAAACATTTTCACTTCTGACCTTATGACAGAACAAAGGTCATTAATGAAGCAGCTGAAGATGGCTCGGATTTAGACACTACCCAAAAGGAACTCCTACAGAGATGTCCTGGAGCTGAGATGACTGACCTCCAACCATCACCTCCCTTTGTGCTAGATCTAGTGCCAGCCAGCAGAGTCTTTCCGATTGACTCTAGTTTTGCAATGGCTCCTTGATATCAGCATTTGCAACTTCTGGTACCTCCCCTATCACATGGAGTGAATCAAACTGGCTGAACATACCTGTGATGCTGGGCATCTCCACAGGAGACAACAGAGATCAATCATCCAGTCAACTCTTCTCACTGAAGGTTGCTGCAAATGCATCAGCCCTACCTTGTGAAATGATGCGGTGGGCTCCCCCTTGAGGATCAGGATATTCACAGAGCCACCTCCTCCATTGAGTTGCTTACATGTCTACTACTGCTCATGACTGGTTGTGGCAAGGCTGCAGAGCTGAGATCTGATCCAGTGCTTGTGGAAGCACTTAGCCCTGTCCAACACATGCTGTTAATGCATTTCACATGCAAGTAGTCTTATGCCGTGGCTTCAACAGGTTTAACACCTCATTTTTGGGTATGCCTGGTGTTCCTCCTGGCATGCCTTCTTGTGCTCTTCATTCAACCAGGGTTGATCTCCTGACTCTAATGGCAGTGGAGGAAATACCAGACAGCAGTAATGCTGGGATACAATTCTGCAGTTAACGCCCAATGCATCTCACACATGCTTAGTCTTAAGTTGTTTGATCAGTTCAAAACATATTCTATTTAGCACAGTGGTGATGCCACACAGGACAGGGGATCCTCAATGTGAAGACATAGAGTTCTCTACCAGAGAAAGTTTGATGGCAGAATTTAATTTGAACAATTTGATAAGTGACATGACTTTTTCACATCTTGCTCATTAAGTTGCAGGATCTTGGTACCAACTGATGTAGTGCTTCCCAGTTTAGACAGATTCATAGTAGGTGTAGCAGGGTAAAACCACCTCTTCTTTACCATTAACATGCCTCAGCCCCAACTATATTCAAGCAGCTGCTGTACTATTACAACACTTTTCCATTCTTAGTTGCAACTGGGAAAATGAAACTGCTAAGACTTTGATTTTACGCTGCACAGAAGCAAATGGATTGAGACTACTGAAGTTCTACTCAAGGGCGTTAACCAGCAGGCAAACACCAACATCCAATGCTCTATCAGCTACTTCCCAACATGAATGTCCAACCAACACACCAATAACTACCAACAGGTGCAAGCAAAGTAAAATACAATCAGAACCAAGTTACCAGAGCTATTTGTAGAATGGCAGATCTAAGCAGTAATGCATAATCAATCCTGAAAAAGGTCACAAACTGAATTTTTGCCAACCAGTTCTCAAACAAGTACTTTGTCCAAGACTCTGCTAAACATTATACCTGTCTAAATTACAAAATAACAGTGGAAGCGAACTGCTGTATACTGTCAAACTCTGACTGGTCTAAGTTGAATGGATTTGGTGCCAGCTTGCTCCGAGGATTTCAGTGCCATGTGTAAATTGCTACTACAGCAATGCTATTGTATTGCTATTCATCATATAGATCCTTTCCAAACCCAAGGAAGAGACTGCCACTATCTATCAAAAGGATTTTCACATGATATAGTGCTACATCTTCCAGAAAAAAGTTAACTTACTACTGTCCAATAGGGATTCAGGAACAAAATTAACCAGATAACATAAAACATTCTAC